AGGAGTTCAGTTTGGGAGGACTTAGGATGAAATAATTATGAAACATTGCTGTGGATATTTTGAAGATGAGTTTAACTCCCAGGTCTAGAGTTCAGAAAAGAGATAAGGGCTAGAAATAGAAATTTAGGAGACGTTGACACATAGATGAGTTCATATTATTTTCTCCAACTTAATTGTTGCTATATTGTTGCTCTCTACTTATTTTGTTTGGTTTGATTTACCTAATAGCGCTGACTCCTCCCTTGACAGATCTCAAAAGAAGGACTCACTGCCATCAAATAGTGACCCTATAGGACAGGGTAGAACTGCCCCCGTGGGTACTGAGACTGCAACTATCTTCTTTTTTAACATTTTATTAGGAGCTCTTACATACATAATTACAATCCATAGTTCCATTAGATCAAGCATAGTTGTACAATTGCTGCCATCATCATTTTCAATACATTTTCTTCCTTCTTAAACTCCTTGATATCAGCTCTCCTTTAGCCCCACTCTCCCCCACCTGCCACCCCCCTGGACCCTTAATATATATTATTCTTATTACCGTTTTTTTTTTTGCCATAACTTACGCCTTCCAATGTATCCATTCACCTAAAATTCTGATGTTCGTTCCCCTTGAGTAGGAGGGGTCCTCAAACTTTTTAAACAGGGGGCCAGTTCACTGGCCCGTTGGAGGGCTGGACTATAGTTAAAAAAAAAACTATGAACAAATTCCTATGCACACTGCACTTATCTTATTTTGAAGTAAAAAACAAAACCGGGCAAAAACACTCGGCGGGCCGGATAAATGTCCTCGGTGGGCCACATGTGGCCCGGGGGCCATAGTTTGAGGACCCCGGGTTTATACAGTCATTATTGCTATCAGTTCCCCTTCCCCCTCCCTCTCTTCCCGTACCCTCATAGAATCGTCACTATTATTAAGACTGCCACTCTTCGAAACAGGGAGGGTAAAGGGAGAATGGGTAGGAAAGAGGGAACCGATTACAAGGAACTATATGTGACCTCCTCCCTGCGGGACAGACAACCGAAAAGTGGGTGAAGGGAGACGTCGGACAGGGCAAGATATGACAAAATACCAATTTATAAACTATCAAGGGCTCATGAGGGAGGGGGGAGCGGGGAGGGAGGGAAAAATGAGGAAATAATAATGCCGGGGGTTTAAGTGGAGAGAAAATGTTTTGAGAATGATGTACAAATGCGCTTTACACAATTGATGTTTGTATGGATTGCAATAACAGTTGTATGAGCCCCTAATAAAATGTTTAAAAAAAAAAAAAAAGACTGCCACTCTTTACGGGAGTAGGCTTCATCTTGTTTCCTTCTAGCTGCTGTTGGTTGCAAACTGTTGACCATGTGATTAGCAGCCCAGCCACCAGGACTTCGCCTGGACAAATGGGCGATGGAAACGAAGTCCCTTATGATATGAAGACCCTGGGTGATAAGCACTTGGGTCTTTTTCTTTTCATCTTTCCCTTACTTCCCTTAAATCCTTAATTCCTGCTAAGTGCACCTCCAGCAGATCTTTCCTGACCCTTGGCCTTTTGCTAGAAAAGACTCTATCAACTGCTTCACTCTTATTTAACTTATTCTTCATTTTTCAGAAAGACCTTCACTGACATATTAGCTACATGAGAATTCTTTTAGGTGAGCCCTGATCCAACCTGGTGAAATGTCCTGGCTTATGTAACTCACCTGTCTAGGGCTAGAGTAATTTCAGGTACTCCGTGATCCAGGCCTCAAACGGTTTGACCAGAACTGTTTTTATGCTTTTTCCAAGTGCCGTCTGTGTGAGGTCCCTGTTGGTTTTTCTCTCACTCAAGGGACCCAGCAATCTTTTTGTCCGAGCACTTAATGATACTCATTCAGTTGCTTATTTTCTCTCTCTCCCAGGAGACTGCCAAGTCTGAACAGAAACTTTCTCTGCTGCATTCACTCTTGTATGTCTACGTGCAGTTTTCTTTCCTTCAACCACTATTCCTGGTTCTAACTAGGTTCCTAGTGTGCTTTTGGTGATTTTTTAAAAAGGCTCTGAAATAGTGCCAATCAACTCAGCCAGAGAGGGGAAGAAATTATATGGAGCAGCAGGGGGCCCATGTAAATTGGTGAATTTAGGATTTAGAATGCATGCTTCTCAAATTTGGGGGCCTCTGGGAGTGGAAGTGTACTGGCACAAGCGCCCAGGTGATTTTGATATAAATACTTCTTCAACCACAGTCTTTGCTCTCCCTGCATTCGAGTCAATGCCAACTCAGCAACCCCCTGAGGGTTTCTGAGACTGACAGTCTTTCTTCCTTGAAACTGCTAGTGGTTTTGAACTGCCGACCGTGTGGATCATAGTCCAACGCCTAACTACTACACCCCCAGGGCTCCAGAGACAGTACTAAAGTGGTAGCCATCTATAGTTCTGTAGTTTGGGTTTGAGTTTCTACTAGCACTCTGCGGACCGTACTACTGGCACATAGGTGGTAAACAATTGGATTCATTCAGTGCTGGACAGAGAGGAATGTGAACTGGAAGTATTGCCAAGGTGGTGATAATATAATAATCATGGACTCCGCTGAAGACAGAAATGCCAGCAAGGGAGTTTGGAAGGCTAATGAAGTGGAAGGGCGGAGGTATAAGAGTTGCCAGAACAAGTTGGCTATGTAGCTTCTTTGAACTGACCGCCAGGATAAGTAACATTAGAAATCAGGCTGTTGGACTCATTCTTTGGAAGTAGGACAGTTTGTTTTTGTTTTGTTTAGGATAATGCTTTCATTAATCATCAATTTGAAGTCTTTAATAAATAAAAAGCCAATACCCACTGCCATTGAGTTTGTTCTGACTCATAGCAACCCTGTAGGACAGAGAACCAACTGCCTCCTAGGGTTCCCAAAGCTGTAATCGTTACAGAAGCAGACTGCCACATCTTTCTCCCAAGGAATTGCTGATGGGCTCAAAACACAGACCTTTTGGTTAGCCGCTGAGCACTTACCTGCCACCAGGGTTCCTTCCAGGCCTTTAATGTTAGGTACTGTTGAGTCAGTTCCAACGCATACAGGCCTTATACAGAACAGAGCAAGGCCAAATCCCGTGCCATCCTTACAATGTACAGCCTGTTGTTGCAGCCACTGTCTTCCTCTTTTTCAGTCACCCTCTATTCCACCAAGAATGCTCTCCTTTGCCAGGGGACTGGGCTCTCAATAGCTTGTCTAAAGTGCACGAGACAAAGTCCTGCCATCCTCGATTCTAAGGAGCATTCTGGCTATACTTCTTCCAAGACAGATTTGTTCTCTGTACTTTCAATATTCTTCACCAAGACCATGGTTCAAAAAGGGTCTGTAGTAGACATCTCAAATTGCCTAGGTCCAAATGAATTCCTGATCCTCCCCCCCTCCCTCCTCACACACCCAAACCTATGTACCCACAGTCTTCCGCTTCTCATAGTTGGCAATTCCAACTTACCAGTTACATAAGCCTGGGTGTCATCCTTGACACTTCTCTGTCATACTCAACATCTGAGCCTTTGGTAAATCCCATTGGTTTGACCTTCAAAATCCCAAATCTAGCCACTGTTCATCACCTCAAGTGTGGCCTCAGCCTCCATTATCTCTCACCTGGACTATTACACTAGCTGTTACAATAGCTAGTACGCTAGCCATTACATTGGACTTCCTGCTTCCCCACTCTCAAAAA